GCCAGGGCACGGAGCAGCCGGCATGGCTCCGGTGCTCAGTCCTTGCTCCAAGGCTGAGATCCCACGCAGAGCCCCAGAGGACTGCGGAGGTCACTCACCCCCTCTCCTGTGCCCTCCCCCTGCCTCCTAGGTAGATGCACGGGTTGGCGTCGCAGCGCCTGTGGCTTTCTCGCAGCGGCTGGTATGCTGCGTCGTCCCACCAAGATGGTCGTCTGCCGGAGAAGAGAGGGAATCTGGTGAGTCTCGGGTGCCCCAGGCACAAGGCAGATTCAGGGCATCCCTGCTCATCCTCATTCCCTGCCTCTCCAGGAAGCTGAGACCAGTGCTCGCAGGATGGCCTGCCAGGGCCAGGGGCAGTTCCTGGGCAGGCACAGCAACACCTGTGCCTGAGTGTCTGCGGAGCCGGGCAGAAGGACACCAACCTGATTGGGATTTGGATGCCCAGGGTGGTCATCTGGGAGCGGAATCTTCTTTTTCCTCCGCAGACAGGGCAGAAGAATCGCATGGTGGCGGCGTGCAGGGCATGTTTCTGTAGGAGAAGCACAAGCGTGAGCGTGAGCGTGAGCGTGAGCGGGGGGGGCTGGCTGCCGCAGAGCACCAGCCGTGCCCACGGGGCGAGGGGGGGACTCCTACCCTGATGCAGCCCCGGTGGAACCAGGCCTGCTTGCACACCGGGCACACCATGGTGTGGTAGGACGTGCTGTCCCCCACGGGCTCCAGGCAGATGACGCAGATGGTGTTCTGCGACGGAGCTGCCTCCGCTGCCTGCCGAGGGCGATGCTCCCAGCAGAAGGACCTGGGCGGGAGGACAGAAGGGGTGGGCATGGTGAGAAGTGCTGTGAGGAGGGCAGAGGACCAGGAAAGAGCGCCAGGCCTGGGCTCTGGCTCTGGCACGATGCTGGAGGTGTCGCTGCGGGTTCCTCCCTGGAGCAACAGCGAGGGACGGCAGCTTGGCTGCTGCTGGCAGCCCTTACCTGTGCGGCCCAACGTGCTGCGTGACGCATTGCCCGTCCTCGGCGCAGGGCAGGTGGAAGCTGCGCTCGCAGCCTGTCTCCGCGCAGCTGATGGCAGCTCCCCTCTGGCCACAGACAAAGCAGTTCTGGAAAGAGCAGAGCAGCCCCCGTTAGCGGTGGGCTCGGGGCCTCGGCGGCCGGCGCCACTTCTCCGGGCAGGGCGCAGGGTGTGGGCACCGCTGCCTCACACTCTGCACAGCTGCCTGGCAGACCAGGCTCGTCTGCTGTGGTGGGACTTTGTCCCGGAGCCGGTTGGAAGGGCCGCGGTGGCTTTCTTTGGGTCCAGGCGAAGCCGGTGCGAGCCTCTGCCCGCACCAAGCTCCCCGTTCCGTTCAGCTCCTCACCTTCTGGCCTGCCAGCTGGAGCGTGCGCTGGATGGCGCTAATGGGGAAGCCAAAAATTTCCCCCGCTGGGCATCTCCACTCCAGAAGCCCGTTGGCAAAGACCTGCAGGAGAGAAAGGAGCGGGACCTCGTGAGGCCGGAAAGGAGGGGAGCATCCCTGGCAGGAGCCCTGGCCCGTGAGGGAACTCACCAAGCAGAATTCGTGGGCACAGAGCCCACCGCTGGCAAATGCCTGCCCGCAGATGTCCGGGTTCACCTGTGCGCGGCCGCACAGCACGCACACTGCAGAGGAAGGAGAGAGCAGCCTGGTGAGCACCTGGCAGGGCCGGGTGTTCCTGGGGGCCGTCCGTCCCCAGGGCCTGCTCCGAGCCTGCCGTGCTGCTGCTGAGGGGCAGGGCTGGAGGGGGTGGAGGGGAAGGGGGCATCGCAGGCCCAGCAGCTGCAGCGGGCAGCCACAGCCCGAGCCGGGGCTCTCACCTGGCTCCCCGGAGTCGGGGGTCTCCTCCTTCTTCTCCGCCATGTTCGGCATCACAAGAATCACAAGAATCACAAGAATCACAAGGTCGGAAACGACCTATAAGATCATCCACAGTGAGAAACAAGAGAGTCAAGGAAGTCCGTCCTCTCTCCACGCCTCACCAGGCTGAAGTGAGCAGGGCCCCGGCCGGCAGCCTTTGCTCTGCTCCAGGCCCCGCGGGTCACAATGGCCACCACTGTGACATCACGGTCACCACCTCACCACCAGGCTGAGGGCGCGGCAGGGCGGCGGCTCCTGTGGGCAGCGCAGGGTGAGGGGCCCGGTGCTGCCAGCAGCAGGGGGCAAGGACGGCCTCCCTCAGGCCTTCTGCACCGTGCCCTGCTGGGACGTTGCAGCACAGAGTCTAATAAAGGGCTGCGGGTCAACTGCACAGCCGGCATTTCTCGCGTGTGTGTGTGCTGTGTGCTGGCCGACTTTGCACGGCCTGCTGGTGACGGGACAAGGTGTTGACCTGAGCAAAGAGGAGGTCTGGTGACCCGCGAGAGGGAATTCCTCACTCGGAGGGCGGTGAGGCCCTGGCGCAGCTGCGCGGAGAAGCTGTGGGTGCAGGCGCTCCAGGCCTTGTTGGACAGGGCCCTCTTCTAAGCTGACCTGCTGGGTGGCAGAGGTCCCACGGCAGGCACCTGGGGCTGGCTGGGCTGTACGATCCTTTCGTGTCCAAGCCTTCACACATCAAAGCTTCAGGCCTCATACAGTTCCCAGAGGCAAAGTGGCACGGGCCAGGCACAGTTCCCTTCCAGCCTGCGTATGAAATGAGTCAGGAAATCTTCTGAAGTGCGCTTGCTTTGGCCTGCTGGCAATGGTCACCGTGCCAGAGACAGGAGAGGAGCTGTGCCTTGCCCAGGGCTGCAGTCCTGGAGTCCCACTGGAGCATCCCTGCTCATGCAGCCTGACCATGCAAGTCAGCTTCTGCATGAAAGTCAGGCCAACGCTGATGGGAGAGCCGCCACGCCTAGATGGTGGAGATGTGGATCTCCGCCCTCTGTGGAGATGCTCAAGGTCTCACTGCTGGATAGGGCTCCAGGCAGCCCGATCTAGTGGGTGGCAACCAACACACTGCAGGAGTCTGGAACTTGATGGACTTTAGTGTCCCTTCCAACCCAAGCCATCCCAGGATCCTGCGATTCAAAACGCCTGTCAGACCCAGCATTACTAAGGCAGCTACCCAGCCAGTCTTGACACCCCCCACAAGGCTACCACGGTAGCAGACAGGCATGATCTTTCTGTAGTAAATCCAAGTTTACGACTCCGGATAACCCTTCTTTTTCCCCACCTGCTTTGAGACGATATCCAGAGTGAGTTGCTCCAGCACTTTCCCAGCGATGGATGTGAGCCTGATTGGCCTATCGTTTCCTGAGTCCTCCCTCCTGACCTTTTTGAAGATTGGAATGACGGTGGCTATCCTCCAGCCTTCAGGCATCTCTCCTATTCTCCATGAGGCTTCACAGATCACGGAATCACACAGAATTGCAGAATCACAGGGTTGGGAGGGACCTCAAGGATCATGAATCTCCAACCCCCCTGCCACATGCAGGGCCAACAAGCTCCACATTTAATACTAGACCATGCTGCCCAGGGCCCCATCCAATCTGGCCTTGAACGCCTCCAGGGACGGGGCATCCACGGCCTCTCTGGGCAGCCTGTTCCAGTACCTCACCACTCTCTCTGTAAAGAATTTCCCCCTGACATCCAACTTAAAACCATTTCCCCTTGTCCTGCAGTTATCGACCCTTTCCAAGAGTTGATTCCCCTTCTCTTTGTAGGCTCCCTTTAGGTACTGGAAGGCTGCAACGAGGTCACCCCGCAGCCTTCTTGTCTCCAGGCTGAACAAGCCCAGCTCCCTCAGCCTGTCTTCACAGTGGACGTGCTCCAGTCCCCTGACCATCTTCGTGGCCCTCCTCTGGACCCTGTCCAACAGCTCCCTGTCTTTCTTGTACTGGGGGCTTTTAAGATATTATTCTGTTAACGTCTGTGTCTCAAAGCTTGCTGGGGACACCGATGGACTTGTTCAAGTCCCGGCAAGTCCTGGGCAAAGGTTGTGAGATCCTTTGCCTGGGGGACGCAGATGGACAAGGCCAGGGGCACGCAGATGGACAAGGCCAGGGGCAATGAGAGCGAGATGAGCTGCAGCTAAATAGCTGTGAAGTGCTCCTTTGTGTGGACTTATCTCAGGATGATGGCCATCTCAGGGGGTACTCAATGACTCTTGCTCAAGGCCCATCCTTGTCACCTAGGCAGGAGAACAAGGAGGATAAAAGAGGAACTGAAAACCATGAGGATAGGTTTCTGGCAGCAGATTCCTCATGAAGCAGAACAGAGGTTTCTGGCAGCACATTCCTCATGAAGAAGAGGGATTCCTGACGATCAGATTCCTCGTGAGGTGACTCCTTCATGCTGTCGAACTCTCCTGTGCCTGCTGCCGGAGCGCGGCTGCTGCTTCAAGGACTGGCTCCGCAACTTCCCCGTCTACCTGCTTGCTGCCCAAGGCCGGCCACGCTGCTGCTTCTCACCCCCCTCCCCTCCCCCCCCCGCTGCGTCTGCCTGGGACCTTCACACGCCGTGCAACAGGACGCTGCTGGATCCTGCTGGTGACCATCCCTGCTTTACGCAACTCTTGCTTCTTTCCCATCTTTTCTATCACCCTCCTTCCCTTCCCCGTCTCCCTGATTAGGTTTTGTAATGAACTGGTCGGAACAACATATGAACCGTTGTTTCTTAATCTCACGCCGGGTATACAGATATTAAAAGAACCTCGTCTCCCTCCTATAAACTGGAGCGAGACAGGGCTCCACACTTGGACGCAGTATTCCGGATGGGGCCTCCCAAGGGCAGAGCAGAGGGGGACAATCACCTCCCTGTCCCTGCTGGCCACCCCTCTTCTGATGGAGCCCAGGATACCATTTGCCTTCCAAGCCGCAAGGGTACATTGCTGCTCATGCTAAGTTTTTCATCTATCAAGACCCCCAGGTCCTTCTCCACAGGGCTGCTCTCAAGGACCTCTCCTTCCCATCTGTATGGATGCCTGGGATTCCTCCGGCCCAAGTGCAGAACTATGCACTTTGAGATAGACAGCTGGGCCGTAAATGCACACTGCTGGTTCACGTCCAGCTTCTTGTCTACCAGGACCCTCAAGTTCTTCTCCGCAGGGCTGCTCTCAAGAAGATCCTGCCCCGGTCTATAGAAATAGCTGGGATTTCCCCGGCCCAAGTGCAACACCTTGCATGTGGCCTTGTTGAACCTCATGAGGTTCACGGGGGGCTCACTTCTCCAGCCCGTCCAGGCTCCTCTGGGTGGCTTCCCTTCCCTCCAGCGGATTGATGGCACTGCTCAGCTTGGTGTTGTCTGCAAACATGCTGAGGGTGCACTCGATGCCGTTGTCTGTGTCACTGATAAATTGGGGAAGAGCACCGGTTGCAAGAACGACCCCTGGGGGACCACCACCACTTGTGACCGGCTCCCACCCAGACACAGAACCGTCGATCACAGCCCTGGGGCTGCGACCGGCCAACCGGCTCTTAATCCATTGAACAGTCCACCTTTCAAAACCATACCTCTCCAATTTAGAGAGAAGGATGTGGCGAGGGACCATGTCAAAGGCTTCGCAGAAGTCTAGGAGGGTGACATCCATCACCCTTCCCCCACACACCGATTGCAGTCACTCCATCACAGAAGGCCACCAGACTGGTCAGGCACGATCTGCCCTTGGTGAAGCCAAGATGCTGGCTGTCTCGGATCACCTCTTTGTCTCCTATGTGCCTTAACGTGGTAACCAGGAGGATCTGCTCCGTGATCTTCCCAGGCACAGAGGTGAGGCTCACCGGCCTGGAGTTC